AGCTTGAAATTATCCTCAGAATTTCCTTGAAATTTTCCCCAACATACCTTTGTAATTTCAATCAAAATTTGATTCTCTCGGTATTCTTTTCGAAATTATCTTGGAACTATCGGCAAGATTCACTATAGAAATCATTCGCAGAATTTTCATGGAATCATCCCCAGAAATCTTTTCTTTTGGAACAATCCTCAGAATTCAATACCCTTGAGGTTCTTCTCGGAAGTCAAGTTTTAGTTGTCCGTCCATCCACCAAAACGTTGTAGTTTTTTTTACCAGAAATGTTCAATAAAGCTTGCCCCTCCATTCACCAGAACTGTGCAATTTTTACATCAGGAATTTTCAATTCAGTTTGACCCTCCGTGCAGAAGATTGTTGCAAATCTAACACCAGAAATTTTCAATACAAACTTGTCTCCAGAAAATTTTACACCAGAAAATTTCATTTGACCAGAACGATGCAAATTTCCCACCGTTAATGTTTAATAAAAATTGCTTCTCCAATCTTCTGATTGGTGCAGATTTCCTTTTTTCATTTTCCACCAGTTATTTTCAATTTCTATCATCAGAATGTTGCAGGTTTTCAACCAAATAAAGCTTGCCCCTATTTCAGATTTTTCATCATACATTTTCAGTAAAGCAGCTTCCCTTCAATCATCAGAATGGTGCAAATTTTACACCAGAAATTATTATCAAAGAATGTTTCTCTATTCAGCAGAAGGATGCAAATTTAAGACCAAAAATTTTCCGAAAAGCTTACCCATCCGTTCATTGTTGTGGTGCAGATTTTCCACCAGATATTTTCAATATAGCTTAATTTTAAATAAAGCTTGTGCCTTCATTTATCAGACCAGTGCAAGTTTTCCACCAGAAATTTTCTGTTCATTTCATTTATCAGAGCGATGCAAATTTTGCACCAGAATTTTTCAATAAATCATACTCCTCCATTCATCAGAACGATGCACCAAAAATTGTCTGTGAAGTTTTTTTCACCATGCACCTTTGTGGGTCAATTTTCAGGCTTTACCTTTTCATGCACCATAATGGTGTAAATTTTCCACCATAAATTTTCAATGAAGCTTACATTCATCAGAACGATGCAAATAATGCACCAGAAAAATGAATAAGCCTTGCTTCTACGTTCACATGTTGACGATTTTCAAGTCCGGTGGCAGTTTTGGACCCGCCAACGGAGGAATTTCCCCAGCTGGATGGCATGGTGGCTCGAGACGGCTAATACATAGGTGTAACAGTCGGAAGAAGTGTTAGTTTGTTTACTTAAATGAACCATGCCCATTTTGTTATGGCATGTTTGCTATACGAAATGCGCCTCGTGTTTATTAGCGAATTTCACATCAAAGATTGATTAATTGAGTAGGAAATCAGTTTGGCACGGCATTTGTGACCAGCATACACCTTCCGGTAGTATGAAACAGGTCAAAAACTGTTCAAATCCGCAGATAAAATTTTTGTTTTGAATTTCTGTATAGCAAAATAGTGAACTTTTCGTGAACATTAACGGCAAAGAACTCACCAACACTGGGAGACTGTGAGTTCCTGCCCACCTGTTCATTTTCCATCGTGGGTACCGATGGCCTGCCGGTAGCACGATGGAAAATGAACAGGTGGGCAGGAACTCACAGTCTCCCAGTGTTGGTGAGTTCTTTGCCGTTAATGTTCACGAAAAGTTCACTATTTTGCTATACAGAAATTCAAAACAAAAATTTTATCTGCGGATTTGAACAGTTTTTGACCTGTTTCATACTACCGGAAGGTGTATGCTGGTCACAAATGCCGTGCCAAACTGATTTCCTACTCAATTAATCAATCTTTGATGTGAAATTCGCTAATAAACACGAGGCGCATTTCGTATAGCAAACATGCCATAACAAAATGGGCATGGTTCATTTAAGTAAACAAACTAACACTTCTTCCGACTGTTACACCTATGTATTAGCCGTCTCGTGCCGGTAGAGTTCTACCTACGAACATTCGACGTCATCTATCGGGAGCTGTACTTCGTAATAAATGAGGCTATGACGAATGAGCTCCCCTCGGAATTCACCGCTGGCACAATCGTGCTGGTCAAAAAGAGAGGTGGCGATGGGACAGCGAGAGCATACCGTCCGATTAGCCTGCTCAACGTCGATTATAAAATTCTTAGCCGTGTGATGAAGGCCCGTTTGGAACGCGTGCTGCAGATACATCGAGTTCTGAGTGACGGTCAAAAAATGCGCCAACACCGACCGCTCTATTTTTCAAGCTACACTCTCGCTCAAGGATCATGTGGCCCAGCTTATCGCAAGAAAACAGAAGGGGAAGCTGATCTCGCGTTTGATCGGGTCTCTCATGAGTTTCTTCATCGAACCCTTCTCTCTCTGGGAACCAATCATGATTTCGTCGGCTGGCTCTCTCGAGTGGCCGATACCTCTTCATCACGACTGTTAGTGAATGGGCACCTTTCACAGTCGTTCCGCATAGAACGATCCGTACGTCAGGGAGATCCGATGTCGATGCTGCTCTTTGTGCTCTACCTCCATCCCCTCCTCACACGGGTGGAGCGTGTGTGTGGCGGTGATCTTTGCGTTGCGTACGCTGACGATATCACGGTGATAGCAACATCAACGCAAACAATTGAACGGATCTTTCAGCTGTTCGACTGCTTTGAAGTCGTTGCCGGGGCAAAACTAAATCGCCATAAAACAGTGGCAATCGATGTTGGATTCATCAATGGGGATCCACTGTTGATACCAGGACTACAGAATACAGAGAAGGTGAAGGTTCTGGGTGTTATTTTTGCAAACTCAGTGCGGCTGATGGTGAAGCTAAACTGGGATACGCTAAACAACAAAATTCGGCAGCTTATATGGATGCATAACATGCGCTCCCTTACCCTGCAGCAAAAGGTAATATTACTTAACACCTTCATCACAGCGAAGGTGTGGTACCTCTCTTCCATATTACCACCGCAATGTATCCACACGGCAAAGCTGACAGCGACAATGGGGACTTTCCTGTTTCGAGGATTGGCAGCACGTGTCCCAATGCAGCAGCTGGCGCGCAGTAAAGAGTATGGAGGACTAAAACTGCAATTACCAGCGATCAAGTGCAAAGCGCTTCTCGTCAATCGCCATCTTCAAGAGATCGATTCCCTTCCCCACTATCAGTCCCTTCTCGCCCAAAATATTCCTTTTCCTGCCGATCTTCCCTGCCTAAAACTCCTCTCTCAGCAATCTTCCTTGTATCCCCACCACATCCAACAAAACCCCACCAGTGATCAAATTCACCGCTTCTATCTGGAGCAAACCGAGATACCAAAAGTGTAACGGAACCAGCCAGGCCTGAACTGGAAGAAGATATGGGCAAAAATTTCATCAAGAAGACTGTCATCGAGCCAGCGCAGCGATCTCTACTTGTTAGTGAACGAAAAAACGGAGCACCGCAGACTGATGAACATCATCGGCCGTGCAAACGACCCACATTGTCAGCACTGCATGGTAGTCACCGAATCTTTGCAACACAAGTTCAGTGAGTGCCCCCGAGTAACCGCGGCATGGGCGTACGTGCAACGAAGGATGACGGTGACTCTCGGTGGGTGGCAAAGGCCTACGTTCGAAGACCTTCTACGCCCGATCCTGGGTACAATTGCAACAGAGACAAGAATCAATTTACTTAAAATTTTCATAAAATACATCAACTTTATTAATGCCAATATTAATAGTAGAATCGATGTTGGTGAGCTAGAGTTTGTTCTAAATCTAGAAGAATAATTAAATTTTTTATCTGTTTGAATGTGTTATTTATTATTAAAAACTAAATAAACAAAATTTTTACAAAAAAAAAAAAAACTTTCCACCAGAAATTTTCAATTAAATGTGCAGCTCCAGATTTTAAACGTGATTCAATTAATGCATTATGATAAGTCATTCGTTTTGATTAGTCCCTCGACGTTATTCAGTTTGATTAGTCCCTCCATGCACCACCTTGATGATATTTTTACACCAGAAATATTCAATAAAAAGATTTATCTTTGATTTACCACCACGAAGTTTAATTTTTTCAACCTTAAATTTGCCCTCTTGTTTAAACCCTCCATGAGCAACCTTGAAAAAAAAATACACCAGATTTTTTTGTATTTTTTTACTTTTATTGAAGTTTGTCCCTTCACGCACCTTTGTGGTGCAATTTTCAGGCACCATCTCAAAGGAATTGACGCAATAAAAGGTTTTCATTTACCTTCAAATCAAGTTCTGGTTATTTAACCTTAAAATCAATTTATTTTATATCATAGTTTTGTGAATGTGGAAATAAAAATCTTATTTTTAAAAGGGGGCAATTGCCCCACCTTGCCCCACCCTGTGCACGCCAGTGCGTACGGTGTAGCTGCACCACTTACCTATCGATTTGGGTTTTATCATTGGGGCTATTATGTAAGTCGAATCGAGTGTCACTTCTGGTATTTTTGTATTACAGGATTGAACGCAGTGACCAGAAGTGACGCTCGACTCGACATACATAATAGGGCTTATGGTCTTATAGCCCATGATTAAGACTTAAATAATGGTTTAAAGCCGCCAAAAAATGTGGAATGTGTCAGAACACATAGGGGAATGTACGTATTCTCGTCAATCTGCGCTATTAGCATTTTCTCAGCGTTACGTATACATTTGACGTGTTTGTTTGTTTACATTTATTTGCTGCTTTCTACTCTATTCATTCAAATCGACAGATTTGACGAAAAACTGTTTGAAAACGATTTTACAACGCTCCAAACTTCTCATGTGAGTGTGACTATTGTCGGCAGCCTCTTTTTCTTCGGCAACCTTCCCATTTGAACTGCGTGTTAACCAGTTGTTCTATTATCGGCAACAAGAATTTGTCTACTTTTTGTAGTGTGTATGTTTCATTTAATGAAAAACTTGCTCAGTCTTAAAAATGTCATCAGCGTGAAGCCGTCATTTACGCTAGATCTACCGAACAACCATCGCTCAAGAAAAAACTTACCCCATCGGTGGCCAGTTCGCCGAAACCGGTCAGCTTCACTTTAGGCGTGGCGAACCCCTTGGCGATGCACTTCTTCTGATCCTCGTGGAACCGTCGTAGATTCTGCTCGTGCCCGTCCGGGTCGTGTTGGGCCGGAAACCGAAACGCGCAACAGTGGAACGAGTGCGTTAGGTATGCGGTTTGCAGATTCTGGAATGAAGGTCAGAAAGATTTTAATGGCCATCCGAAAAGTGCGCTGCCACTCAAGAGCCAACCTTAAAATTGTACACCGATGGAATCGTCTTGAGCGAATGAGTGTTCTGTATTCGAAGAATTTCTAGCTCGCTGAGGCCTTCGGTTGGCATGGCCTCCAGTGCCGTCCCGGAAAGGTCCCTGCAAAAGGAAAAACCGCAAACATTTGTAGGTTGATAAACAGCAAAAGCTTCGTGGAAGAACCGGGAAACCGAAACCTTTTTTCTTTGTCATTAATTATTTCCCATCATTTGCGGATGACACTTACAGCTCTCTGATGTTTCGCATTCCGACGAAAGCGGACGGGTCGATGTGTATCAGTTTGAAGTTGAGCTTCAGACTTCTGCTCGGCGGGGCCGCGAAAGAGGGTGGCAGCACGTGACGGAAATAGAAATAGGAAATAGAACATGAGACCGATATTGATTCATTGTCAATAAGTGAATAGACAGAGAGGGAAGGGGTGAATCGGGATCTAATACTTACAGTTTGGCCACCTGTGAACCAAAAAATGCTGCGCCATGGATCTGTGTGAGTGCGTTATTATCTAGAATTCTGAGAAAGACAGAAAAAGAACCAGCCGGTTGGATTAAAATTGTATGACAGAGATTCGTGATGTGCTGTAGTGACAGAAATAAATAATCCAATTCTTCTTTGATGGAAGCACACACCGGACAAAATTATTCATTTCCTTTCATGACGCAATTATGTTGACAAAAATAACCCTTATTTGCGTAGTTTGACATGGATAGAGTTCTTTAAGGCTCAAGACACCGGCACTCAACCCGAGTAGATGAGACTACCAAATCCAAAAATTCGGGAACAGAACATCAAAAATTGCTATTAGTTTGACTGATATAAGAAGTAAAATATCAAAAATAATATCATAAAATGTATGGGGCCATAACTGAGGAAAATATAAGTCAGTTGATGCCATATCTAAAGAATATCAAAAATAATATGAAATAAATATCACATTGTCATCAAGCTATTGGTAAATTATTTAAAATAATCAATTTAGTGACATATTAATAGCTACTTCTTCAATCATACAAAATAAGCCTTTGAATTATTGATACCAAAATATCAAAACCATTGGAAACTATGTTTTGATAGCAAATTAAGCTTAAAGAGTGTCCCACATCAAATTGCATCACGGAAAAAGGCAGAAGAAAATTACCAACTGGGTATTTTCTCTTGAAAATTTGGGTAAAAGTAGTTTAGCGTGTACTGTTTACACTGAATTTTTATCGCTGTCAGTTTTTCGAAAGTTGGAAAAAATGGCGTCACCCGAAAAGCAACGTCGCGGATTAATTTTGCGCAAGTACCTGGAAAATCCTCAACTCTCTCATCGGGACATCGGAAAACAACTCGCAATCGTACAGTCAACGGTGAGTCGTGTGATTAAACGTTAATACGAAACTCTGAGCATTGAACGGAAGGAGAAATTTGGCCAGAATGGATGTTCTATTAGTGATCAGGATCACAAGCGTGTCGTGAAAGCGTTTAAGCGGAATCCCAATGCTTCGGTCAGGGATGTGGCCAAAAAGTTGAATCTGTTCAAGTCTTTCGTTCAGACAGCCAAGGACGCTCTTTGTACGTATGCAGTCCCGCATACGTACAAAGAGCGTGACGAACGGCAAAATACGGTGGGAAAGTCACAGGCCCGGCAACTATACACCCAGATCCTGACGAAGTATGAAAGATTGAAAAGGATCGGTTAAGTAGGTAATTTTTAACAGCGTTTTTTTCTGTGATGCAATTAGATGTGGGACAGCCTTTTTAATTTGTTATTGCACATAACTTACCAATAACATAATAAGAAATTGGTGTTATATTTGATATCATTTTGCTTCCATATCAGTGTTAGTAAAAATCATTTCTCTTATACTAAAATTAACTAAAAACTAAAGGCATCCTTGAAAGATAATTCAACTAAATACCTGCATGAATTTGACTTTTGACGTGCCATCATGCTTTTGATCAAGGCAACCACTGAGTATCGAAGCAAACATTTAGTTTTGTTCACTCGTGGATCGATGATATTCATTTTTGGCTGTGTTGTTCTACTTTTCTTTATTTAACAACGGTCTCTATTCCGCAATCTAGTGCCAATCACCGACGGACATCGATTGCCATCCATTGACGGCAATCGAATGTGCAGGAAGGCAGCTTCCACACCTGCGTAGGATATCGTACCCATTCACAACACACATGGGCCGGAACCAACGGATTTACTTCCCTTCCGAAGGAAGACGTGACCAGAGATTTGTATGCCTCAGTAAAAGCCCACCGACCTCGGCTGGGATTGAACCCAGACACATTGGGGTGTTAGAAAGCAGTCACGCTTACCACTACAACACCGGCACCGGTGGCTGTGTTGTTGTCAATGCAATATTCATTTTCATATGGGGTGGCGATGATTTTGAATAGCATATGCAAAAAGATTATTTTCATTTTATACAAATACCGTGGACTGCAATTCCCTACAAATTCGCATATCGGTTAATTTTTATATTTTTTTTTTGATTTGGTTGAAAATTTGCAGAAACGTTCCTTATGACCGACTATGCCATTTTGCATCTTCATATCGCCAATTTGAATCCAGCCTTATTTTTGAAAAGACCATATAGAAAAATATCAAGCTTATATTCAGAAAATTTTTACTCGAAAACTGTTTGTCCGATTGGTTTGGTGTCTTCGGCAATATTGAAGATAACTCAGTTCAGTAATTCAGAAGATGAAGTGGTAGTTAAAATTAATACTTTTCATTATAAGTGCATAAACGTGTTTAAAAAAAGTTGCTCGAAAAATTGCCGAAATTTCACGGATACTAATATACAGAAATTGGTTGATTTGGGTTTTGCAGAACAGAACCAACTTAACAGTAAATTATTTTTTTTTATTCTTGTCGTATACAGCTTTCTAAACGTACCGAACTATCAAGTAGCGACGAGTTATCAAACTACGATAAACAAGATATCAACATGTATGTTTCAAGTCAGGAATCTTTAGTAACTGTATCATCAATAACATCGGTAGAAACAATCGACTCTTATGTTGGAAATATTCACAAAGCGTTATTATTGAACTTTTCAAAAAATATATATCTAGTATTTTGACATCACCAATTGATATGAAATTTTTAGTACGCCCACGCAAACCAATACCACTTACGGAAAGGTGTTGTTGGTTTGCGTGGGACTACTTTGGTTCGCGTGTAAAGGGTCTTAGAAAGTTTGTTTACAAATGCTTTTGTGCCGTTATCAAATTTTATGCCTGATATGACATGAGTGATTTCGTTGTAATTCCTAAAATTTTTGTAAATTAAACCATTTCTGATCAGATATGTTATTACTAGGACATCATTGCTTACTATTTTCAAAATCCACACAAGCACAAAATCAGCAGCTCTTATTATGAGAAAAACTAACACATATGCATTCGTGACGGTCTTCGGTGATAGTGTCGTTTGACAGAGCCTGTCATATGACATTTTAGTTTCGGACTGTACTATGATAGCTTGTTTTGCAAGTTTCGGAGGAAAAGGCAGTTGATTATCACAGAAAATGTGTCGACTACCGTGACCGCTTACAAGACTGGTTCCATTTTGTTTTCTTCCATTCGATATATGCTGAATGACGATTGGGCAATTTTAGTTTACACGGCGTGCAGATTAGCAATTATCATTATCTCACCTATCCCTATCCCTATCAAAACTCTTTCTATCAGTGATAGAAAACATTATAGGTAGGTGATAGAGAGTAGTATCAACAGGTGAAAACAAACAGATTTAAATTGCCTCATTACTTGACTAGCCTATTGGTCCCAAGCAAATCGATTAACGGACTCCATTCTAGTCTAAATCCTAGTACTACACTATGTTTGTTTTGATTCGCTATGAAAGTTTGACAGATAAAATGAGGGTTTCGTGGATTTTCCTATGTCTCGAGGGGTGCATCGATTAACTTGGAACCAAAGAGAGTACCAGAGCTGAGCCAAAAAGTTGAGTACGTTTCTTCAGGATCTTCTGGTCTTAGAGTTGCCTTTATGGTATTACTGTGCATTATTGGACCGATTGATGGCCGAAATCGCTGCAAAACGGCCAAACATGAAGCGAAAAAAAAATTGTTTCGCGACCACGGCTAAAATCAATAACTTACGGCTTCCAATCCAAATGGCTCATCAATAAAAAAATCAACTCCCGTGAGGAAATCATCGACGCCGCGGAGGAATATTTTGCAGACCTTCTGGAAAATTACTTTTCGGACGGGATCATGAAGTTGGAAAATCGCTCGAATAAGTGTATCAAGCTAAAAGGGGAAATGGCTCTAATGTTGACCTTTGGATCCAAAATTGGGCCCATCGCTAAACATCTGCTATTTATCAATTTTATCTAGATAAACGCGTCATTGGGACGGTACTAATGGATATTTGTGGTCGCTATTGAAAATTTAGCGAATTGCTGAATTAATGCATGGGCCCAAACTAGACGCATATAGGCCCAAATTAACTCCATTTCCCCTATATTGAATAAAAAAAAATATATATATAAAAAAATCATTCCCAAGAAGGTTACTTTTCACGCGACTCAATTCTTTAAACGCGTTATTCTCGAATCCAAATTTTTTACCTTATGAGACATGGATCTCGGAAACTATTCAATCAATTTTGCATATTCTTCTGCCAACAATGTAACACTGAATTATCTTTAACCTAACATGGTATTTTTTGGATATTCCAACTTTTTTTTATTTTTTACGCACTTTTCATCGATAATCAACAATAATATTTTGAGCTGATAATTTTCGAAAATAGAACTGAATGGTTGCTTAATAATATAATGAAAAGCCGAAGGGATTGCATGTATTCTAATGTTCTAAAAAGTTAACAAAATCTACATTTTTTTAGATATCTCAACAGGGTCCCGCCTTAAATCAACTAATTTAATGAAATAGCTTATTCTACTATCAGATCAAAATTAGCTGTTGAATTCAGGTTTAATAATAACCATGATAATAGCAAATTATACGTTGATAGCAGAATAAGCTATTAACATACTATAACCATAGACGTAACTCTAAAACCCGAAGGTCCCGAAGAAACATAGTCAACTTTTTGGCTCAGCTCTGGTACTCTCTTCGGGAGTTGCCTAGGACCAATGGGCTAGTCAAGTGAACCTCCCTTCTAGCATAATAACCCACCGGGGGCGGCCGGTGTGTTTGAGATAATCAACGTTTTACGTTTTTTGACGTGGACTACGTCTTACGGGAAGGTACTGAGGGTAAATCGAAAATCTAAAATTGCGACCGTCACGAAAAGGTGTAAGGTTTTGAACGGTTATAAGTTTGTCATTTATAGATGAAATTAAAATCCAAATTCACCAATCGATAAGAAATAACTCTTGTAAGCTGTTACAATAATTTGTCAATTTTTCATAGAAAACTGTTTTCAAAATGGACAAATAAAAAGTGATAATTTTATCACTGTTTACATGAAATAAACGTTCTCCCCAAACCCAGTCCTCACAATCACGTACAATTTGGTTGCACATC